GGGGGTCCCGGGGGGATTTTTGGGGTCCCTGGAGGGGTTTGGGGGTCCCGGGGGGTTTTGGGTCCCCGGGGGGATTTTTGGGGGTCCCGGAGGGATTTTTGGGGGCCCCGGGTGGGTTTTGGGGTCCCCGGGTGGGTTTTGGGGTCCCCGGGGGGGGTCCCCGCCTGTTTTGGGGTTCTCCGGGACCGAGGGACAATCGGGAATTCTCCGACCCCCCAAAATCCCGCGCGGGGGCGGCGCCCGCGGCAGCTCCTCCCCCCCCCCCGTGTAAATACCAAATAAATGTGGATGTTCGCCCACTTTGGGGCATCTGGCCGGTTTTGGGGCGCTTTGGGCCGGTTCCGGCTGCTTTTGGGGTGGCTTGAGGAAATTTGGGGTGGTTTCAGCTGGTTTTGGGGCGCTTTGGGTGTTTTGGGGCGGTTTCAGCTGGTTTTGGGGTGGTTTGGGTGCTTTGGGGCGGTTTCAGCTGGTTTTGGAGTGGCTTGAGGAAATTTGGGGTGGTTCCAGCTGGTTTTGGGGTGGTTTGGGTGTTTTGGGGCGCTTTCAGCTGGTTTTGGGGTGGTTTAGGGTGAGTTTTGGGGCGGTTTGGGTGTTTTGGGGCGCTTTCAGCTGGTTTTGGGGCGGTTTCAGCTGGTTTTGGGGCGGTTTGGGTGTTTTGGGGCAGTTTCAGCTGGTTTTGGGGTGGTTTGGGTGTTTTGGGGCAGTTCCAGCTGGTTTTGGGGCGCTTTGGGTGTTTTGGGGCGGTTTCAGCTGGTTTTGGGGCGCTTTGGGCCAGTTCCAGCTGCTTTTGGGGTGCTTTGGGTGTTTTGGGGCGGTTTCAGCTGGTTTTGGGGTGGTTTAGGGTGAGTTTTGGGGCAGTTTCAGCTGGTTTTGGGGTGGTTTAGGGTGAGTTTTGGGGCGCTTTCAGCTGGTTTTGGGGTGGTTTGGGTGTTTTGGGGCGGTTTCAGCTGGTTTTGGGGCGTTTTCAGCTGGTTTTGGGGTGGTTTAGGGTGAGTTTTGGGGCGGTTTCAGCTGGTTTTGGGGCGGTTTGGGTGTTTTGGGGCGTTTTCAG